GCTACCCATGCAGCCCTCAACAGCTTGCCAAAACTCAGTAAGTGGCCCTCCAGCCAAAATAACTGCCTGCCCCTGCTCTAATGGGAGAAAGTAATAAAGATTCAAGGTGCACAGTTATTTGGTACCCATGGTTAATGGCGCATGGTTACTTGGTACCCAAATCTGCTGCAGAGAAAAATCAATGCTAAAACCACATGTGCCAGCACTAGAGAGAGCACCAACTATAACACCCCCCCTGCTCCCAACATACATACATACACAACACACATATGCATGACTGCATGCACTCATTTACAAGGGACCAAAGCTGCACAGTAACTACATAACTGGACGCTACAGGAGTTGTGTTGCACCCAGCATTCCTTCTAAGCTGTGCGGCATGCATGGCCACGCAGGCACTTTCATGCCACGCTGCCGGGCATGCCTGTGCAGCCACGCACACCACACAGCTTAGAGAGAAGGCTGGTTGCAGCCACAGCAGTAAAAATACAGTGAAGATTGGTTACACCCACCCCAAGCTTTATCCCCTTGGAGGAATGCATAAATAGGGGACATGAAAGCACTTTTGTTGCAGGAACAGACCAACAGACACTGCTGGAGGAGGGAGAATGCAGTTTCAATGATATCTGAGGAAAACAGGCAAGCGGCTGACAACTTTGCTGAAATAGAGGTTGTAACTGCAAAGAATCTGAAGATGGGGAAAATTTCCAACAGAACCTTTGGGGTATATGCAAACTCCTGTAAATGGATGGGGAGTGTAGACAAATCAAGGAAATGTACAACATCAAGAGTCAGAGAGGGCAGGAAAGAACCTGCCTTCATCATCAATTAGCTCCTAGTGGTATCCAAAGTGTACTAAAAAGTTTCCAGACACAAAATTACAATTTGGCCCATAGCACGCACAGACTATATTTTGTGTAAGAACCAAATTCCTTTCCTGTGGCTAGTGGTTTGCCTTGGCTATCAGTTGAGGGAAGTTGAACCTTTCCCCTGCAGATTAAAAGGAAGAGGAAAGGGCAGTCCAAGCAACACCAGCTTTCTCCAGTGCAGTTCCAATAAGCAATCATTTGACAAATCAGCAGCTGTAGCTTTGCTCTGTTATATGTCCATATCAAAAACATTTAGCAGATCCTGATGCTGTACTACAAAATGTCCAAATACAAAGCACAAAAAGTCTGTTGCCCTTACTATCCTTCCAAGTTGATTTTACCACAAACAACAGTTAGAATAATAGTTATCTGCCATGGTATCATGGTTTGCTAGTTGCTTGTTGGTATTACACAGCAGAGGAACACCTGGTTTCTTGAGTCTGGAACCACAGGCAAGATGAGGAAAACTGACAAAAAATGTCAGGCTGGACTTGTGTTGGGGCAGGGAGAGAGTGGAGAGGAAAATCAAACTAGTCAGCACAGGTTATACTTTGAAAGATCTTCCCACGCTTACACATGTAAATGGAGAAAATCACCCTTTACAAAAAACAACTCTATTTTATGATTTAGTCTATTCTAAGTTCTCCTGAAGAGGCTCTGTTGGCCATAGATTCAAGATTAATCTTCAGCATAGTTAGGCTAGCAAAACCCTGACTGAGGACACAGTTCTGCTGGAACATCTGTCATTTGAGGAAGCTGGTATGGTTCTGGTGGTAGAAAAAAAGTCTTTCTGCTAACAAAAGTGTGCCTGTACTGGTGGTCTGGCCACCATACAACTGTTACCAAAGTTACAGCAGCAACAACCCCACAGGATAGACATGGCCTTTGTTAAGGGTTCTTCTCTGCTGCTGCTAAATGATTTTATATTTAGCAGCCTTCTACTTAACACTCATTTTGAATACAAGACAAGAATCACTTACATTTTTGTGATTAACACATTTCATGAGAACAAGCTCTCTGTAGGCTCGTTTGGCATGAGTTTGATTCTGAAATGGCCGGCTTAGCTTCTTGATTGCCACATTTCGCTCAAGGATGGCATCATAAGCTGCACTGCAATTGAAAGTAAATCATTATTACAAGACTGATACAACATTATATATTTTAGCTGCGTCTACACGAGACACTGATTGTGCAACAGCCCAAGACTTATCACAACGCAGAAACCATGATACGACGCTATTGTGCAGTAATCTCAAGCTACTGCACAGTCAGTGTCACAAAAAAAGCATTCACTGGCACTGCTGTGCATTAATGCAGGTTACAGCGCAGTCATTTAGTAGTATGTCTTTATACAAGTCCTAAATGACTACGCAGTAACAACTGAGCAGTCAGCATCTCAGGTAGATGCAGCCTCTAAGTACTAAATGCCCTGCTGTCTTTTCAAAATGGAATAGTATTAGTTCCATGTCACAGACAGAAATCTGACACAGATTAAGGGACCATCCCCCAAGGTTGTTTAGGGACTCAGTGCATAAACCAGAATTCCAGGATTATTAAATTCATATGCAATGAGCATATAAGCAAGATTCTTATCATGGCAAACATTAACTCAGGATTCAGAAAAGATATTCCAACTTCACAATATTACATAACACTGTTTCAGCAAACTATGGGGAGAACGTAAAATTCTCAGAATGTCATATCCCCCTAGTAAAGACAGAAAACTCCTGCTACATGGACATAGATATCACACCATTAGTTTTGACATAAGAACACAAAGACCGCAATCATGAGAAACTGGTTAATCTTTATTTCAAATTTACAGAAACTAGAAGGAAATTCTGGGCTAGCAACTCCAGTGTGTTTAGGGACTCTATAACCCTAAGTGCCAGACAGAGCTGTACAGTTGATGGTCCATGGGGTGTGTGCAGTCCACAAAGGGTTTAATTGCTGCTCCTGGCACTCCTGCCTGACTGCTGCTTCTCCTATCACTCAAGTTGCAATAGCAGCTGGATTCTCTGGGCTCCTCCTCCCTCCCCTTGGTTTCCATTGCCTGCTTCTGCTCCAGGGAGCAGAGCAATGCAGCATGGTGGGGTTGGGGGAGCTGAGTGTAGGCAAAGCCACTGCGATGCAGCAATGGGGCCATGCAGTGCAGTGAGGGAGTGGGGTGTTATTTGTGTAGTGTGCAGCTCAGAGGGGCCCGTGGCTCAGTGGCCCCTGGCTGGTGTGGCCCCCAGAGCATTTAGTCCCCAGATGCTTGTAAGTTGGACAACCCTGTTCTACAATATACTGGTCCTAAACTAAGAACCTAAGCAAAGGGCAATATCAAAATACAGTGGTGGAAAAGTAGGGTAGGGAGAGGTAACCCTCAATGCCACTGGTTTTTCCACCCCCCGCCCCTCCAGATGTCAAGGAAAAGCCAAATGCTTGGAAAGGATTAAATCCAACCTTCATTCTACTTGTGGCCTGATGTCAGGATGTCAGGAAATGTTATTTATTAACACAGGCTGCTAACTTCAGTTTCTTCCTTTTCTTGCTACTGGTGAAGACCATCACATGGGACAAATCCCATATAAATCACAAGTTTTCCATGGCACAAGAACACTGAATTTGTTTGCTGCAAGAGGCAGTATGACAGCCAACTACTGTGTGGATTCAGTAGCTATTTGTGAAACATAAAGGTCCTGGTAGTTTAATATTTTCCTGAGCAGTGAAGACAAGCTGCCAGCAAAGTTAGTGTTTCCCTGGCATGTGTGCAGGGCAATGCTACCTCCCAGGGGGCAAAAGAAAATCCTAAACTGTGCAGAAGTGCCAAAAACAGTTATATGGCTGTGCATATGCCATTTAAATGCACAAAGCAAAATAGGATCTAGTCCTAAATGTACTGGTGTAACTTTGTTCAGTTTATTAAGGTTCAATGCTATAATATCTGAAATTTACAAGATACTTTACAAAAAAATATTAAGACAGGTACCTTTACAAAGAAGTTCTACTAAAAAAGAGTTTGAGGTAAATTTATTTCTGTTAGGTTTCTTTTGTCATTTGTAGGTCTAATCTTAGTGTCTCTGTTATTTTCTGCTTTAGAATCATCTGCAAATTTCTATTGTATATGCAACCTTGTCCTGATCATTATAAAATCATTAAATAAATCTAGACAAAGCACTTATCCCAGGGGAAATTTCGCTTCACAGATTGCTGCCTCAATTTACAACTAATCAACATTACTCTGCAGTCCCTCAGTTATTTCTTCATCCAAGGGCAGTTCTCATAATCAAATTAGTTTTAAGTTATATTTTCAAGTACGGCTTTCCAATATTAGGTTGAATTCTTACTGTTTTGTGCACACACATTATCAAAAATAGATGTTGATTGGTCTGGAAACTGATTAGCACTTGATTCACTTAGCAATTTAAGGAAACACCAAACTGTTCTGGTGGCTGTTTTCAAGCACTAGCACCAGAAATATTCAAAGTGCAGTTCGGGGTTCTATTCTAACACAAAAGCTAGGGACAGACATTACACATAAATCGGTTTAAGTGATCAGAAACTGGTTTAAACCTGTAACAGAACACAAGTTTGGTGCACATAAATTGGTTTCAAAATGGATGAAACTTGTTTAAGATAAACCTGGTTGAATGTAATATCAGACTTAACTGATTTGGGTCAAGCCAGTTTATGCAATGTTTGTCCCAGACCCCTTCCTGGTTGAAGTTAAACCAGAGTCCCCCAGCATGCCAAATGCTTTGCAGTTGGGCTGAGCTGAACTGTGCACTCTGCTCCAAAGAACAGGCTGGCCCTGCCCCTCTCCTCCCTAGCCAGAGCTCCAGAGGAGACTGAAGGCACAGCAGGGTCTGCCTGGCTTTCTTCACTGCTGGCTGCTCAAGCAGGGATTCCCTCTCCCACCTTCTTCCCACAGCAGGGACCCCAGCCTCACAGACTCTAGGCATGTGGTACGCTAGCTAATGCTGAGAGGTGTCTGTGTCTCCAATTTCACTGGGACAGGCAGACAGAACAGTGTCCACTTAGGGCTTTTTGGAGCTAATCAACAGGGTAGCTGGTAATGTCCCTTGGAAAAAGCTGTTTAAGAACTAACGAGAGAGGCTTTGTTTTGCTGATGGGCTGATAACATGGTGGTTTTAGTTTTATCAGCCCCCTGCTGGTTTGCAGTCCTGTCAGGTTTGCAGACAGGGGGAGGGAGGTTGAAAAGCTCAGTATCATCAACACATGCATGCACTACACACACCCCCTTT